TGGACCTCGTGGCCCTTTACCCTTAAGCCACGCCGACCTGGTGGACGACCTTGAAGCTCGGATTGGGGGACATCCGACGTGAAGATGCAGTTCAGAATGGAACCGTTAAGCTCCGGGGTGAAGGACCAGGTGTCACGCATCTCGGCTGCATGCTTGGATCGCTCTCTCAGAAGAGCATCCAAGTTCGTGAGCGATCCAGGGTCCGTGCTGCAACGGACAATTGACCACGCTGTCGAGGTAAGATCTACTTATAAACTTTGCTTTATTTTCCTAACTTGTGACTTGGTCTGACATGTGTTTGCCTTTTGTGCTCTACAGGCGTTCACTGCCTCCATCCATTCAGCAATCATGATCAAGGCCGAGCTGGATGGAAGGGAGGCCTTGACAGCGAAAGAGAGGGAGAATTCTTCTGCTGCCTTGAAGGCTGCCACTACGCTCAAAGGCGAGCTGCTGAAGGCTCGGAGCGAGGTGGAGACATTCTGAGGGCCAAGGTTGAAGCCAAGGCCGAGCTGCTGAAGAGGGAAGATGAGAGGCATAAGGCCCATCTCCGAGCTGCCCACGCCATCACTAAAAGGCTGGAGAAGGAAAAGTTCCAACTCCTTAAGGAGAAGGACGAAATGCTCCAGGCCCTCGAAGGGAAGGACGCTACAATTGGGCGTCTCACTGCTGAGCTTAAGGCGGAGAAGGAACGCCTTGCCAACGGAGCTTTTCTTGAAGCAGCCTTCAGGCAACACCCAAATTTTGATGGGTTTGCCAAGGACTTCAGCGATGCAGGCTTCAAGTTTCTGATGAAGGGCATTGCTGCTGACATGCCCCACCTTCAGGTCGACCTCGGCGATCTGAAGAAGAGGTATGCTGAGAAATGGGCTTCTGGGCCCAACGGCACTCCAGGTTCTGCATCCCTGGTGGACAAGTACGTCAGAGATCTGGACTCTGACTACTCCGACCTGGACGAAGACGAAGCCCCTAGTCAGGAGCCTAACGAGGTCAGCACTACCCAAGAGGGAACTCCTTCTCAGTAGGACGGATCTCAGGAGGTCAACCTTCTGGGTTCTCAAGGCGAGCTATCTTCTCACCTCGGGAGCAGTTGAGATTCCTTGTAGATTTTGTTGTTGTTGCTTCTTTTATTATTTCTTTTGTAAGTCTTTGGGCAGAGCTGCAAGGTATACAAGCCTTGGCTCTGTCCTTTAATCAATGAAATCTTAATTTCTCCACTTCTGTACATCGAGTACTTCTATACATCGAGCTCTGACTGTTCTTTCATTGCTTTTTCCTTAGACTTTTGAACTTGCTTTTGTAAACTTGAATTCCTATATGAATAATTTCATCTCGCACCTCTAACTCGTAAGCTTAAAGGATTGAGTTTGGGAGGAACTCTTTCCACATCGCCCCTTTTACTTACGTTTAAGGTTTGAATTTGAGAGTTTCCTTCACTGGTTTTTAATATTTCTCGTCGAACTCGGAAGCCCAAAAGATAATGTTAAGTAATTTGAACTTTCTACATCGCACCTTTAACTTTAAACGTTCAAAGGATTGAATTTTGAGTCCATAATTAATATTCCATAATTAATACTCATGTCGCACCTCGAACCCGTGGGTTTAGAGGATTGAATTTAAGTCTTATGGGAGTCCGCGACCCCCATTTAATTTCTAATCGAACTCGGAGTCATGAAATTAAATAACTCCATTTATTAACAGTTCCGCCCCTTTAAAATTTTTACAAGTCCATTTTAGGACCATTTTGACATTTTAAGGGTAATAGCGCTTCAGGTGCTCTGCGTTCCATGGATGCGCAAGCACGTTTCCTTCCAGATCGGCCAACATATACGTTCCAGGTCGGACTATGCCTTTAACCTCGAACGGTCCCTCCCAACTTGGGTCAAGGGTGCCCACATGACTCTGAATCTTCCTTAAGACCAAATGTCCAACCTGGAAGCTTCGAGGTCGAACTCGGACGTTATAATGTCTGGCCATTCTGTTCTGATACTCTGCTAAGCGCGGCTGAGCCATTTCCCTTTTCCCTTCTAATAAATCTAGGTTAAGGAGTAGATCTTCCTCGTTCCTTGTTGGTTCGTACTGCTCTACCCTGTCTGTTGGTATGCCGATCTCTACAGGAACAACAGCTTCGGAGCCAAAGGCTAGCGAGAACGGAGTTTCGTCAGTTGACTCTCTCGGGGTGGTTCGATATGACCATAACACTTCGGGTAGCTCCTCGGCCCATCTTCCCTTTCTGGAGTCCAGTCTCAGCTTGAGTCCTCGTTTTATAATTTTATTTATTGCTTCGACCTGCCCGTTTGCTTTCAGATGAGCAGGGGACAAACTGAGATGACTTATTCCTAATTTTCTGCAAAAGTCCTTAAACTTTGCATTGTCGAATTGCTTTCCGTTGTCTGTCACAATGGCGTTTGGTATACCAAACCGGCACACAATGTTTTTCTATATGAACGACGTGACTTTGGGCTCCGTAATGTGAGTGAGCGCCTCGGCCTCGGCCCACTTGGTAAAGTAGTGCACAGCGACAACGACAAACTTGGTTTGCCCTTTCCCAGAGGAAAATGACCTATGATATCTACTCCCCATTGCGCGAATGGCCACGAGGCCGAGATGAGGGTAAGCAGTTCGGGAGGTTGATGGATAATATTTGCGAAGCGCTGGCAGTTGTCACATGTTCTCACAAATTGCTTTGCATCCTGCTCGACAGTGGGCCAATAGTACCCTTGTCGAACCACCTTGGCCGTCAACGACCTGGCGCCAGAGTGGTTTCCACACACTTCTTCATGGATTTCCCTAAGAACGTAAAGGTCTTCTTCGGGAGTCACACACTTAAGCAGAGGCAGTAAGAAACCACGTCTGTACAGCGCTCCGTCTCGGAGTACGAACCGAGCTGCTTTCCGTGCCATCTTCTTTTGCTCCTTCAGGTCTTGCGGCGGATTTCCTTTGATGAACTCCATTATTGGATCCATCCACGAGGGCGATGGAGTGTCAATCTCCACCACGTCTGGATCCAAGATTTAAGGGTTGTCTAAGATCTCCATTGGGACTGACCTGGCCAGGCCGGTCTCATATGCTGATGCCAATTTGGCCAAGGCATCAGCATTGGAATTTTCTGATCTTAGAACTTGACTCACCTTGTAGGTCTCAAACTGGGCGAGGTGCGATCTGACCTTGCTTAGATATTTTTCCATTCGGGGGTCTTTTGTTTGGTACTCCTCCTTAATCTAATTTACGATTAACTGGGAGTCACTGAAGACCTTGATGTGGACGGCCCCAGTCCTTTGGCAACGCGCAGGCCTGCTAGAAGCGCTTCATACTCGACCTTGTTGTTTGAGGTCCGAAAATTGAACCGTAGAGCATACTCAAATCGCTCGCCGCCTGGTGCGAGTAAGAGGATTCCGGCCCCGCACCCTTTCTCATTAGAGGATCCATCAACGTAGATCGTCCATGGAAGGTCGGACCTGGCCAACTGAGGTGGTGGGGTGAGCTCTGCGAATCGGCCACCGCTTGCCTTTTCAGCGCAGTTCTTGGCTTGAACTGGATTTCGTACTCGCTTAGCTCCATTGCCCACTTTATCAGGCGTCCCGATGTTTTCGGCTTGTGGAAGATGTTCTTTAGGGGCAAGTTGGTAAGTACCACGACAGTATGTGCTTGGAAGTACGGCCTAAGCCTTCGGGCCGAGGTGACTAAAGCGAGGGCCAGTTTTTCCATTTGAGGATATCTGGTCTCGACTTCTGTCATAGCTTTGCTCGTGTAATAAATGGGACTCTGGCGTACTCTTTCTTGCTTGATTAGGGCCAAACTGACGGCGCTATCTGACACTGCCAGGTACAAGTGGAGCTTGTCTCCTAGCAGGGGCTTGGTGAGTAGGGGTGCCGAACAGAGATAGTTCTTCAACTGCTCCAGTGCTTGCTCGCACTCTGCCGTCCATTCGAACGGTCTCTTTTTCCTCAGAACTTTGAATAAAGGAAGGCACTTGTCAGTCGACCTTGAAACAAACCTGTTCAATGCTGCAATCCTTCCATTGAGGCTTTGAAGCTGTTTCAAAGTTTTGGGCGCTTCCATCTCGAGCACGACCTTTATCTTCTCTGGGTTAGCTTCGATCCCTCGGTTGTTTACCATGAACCCAAGGAACTTTCCTGAGGAGACTCCAAAGGCAAACTTGGTCGGATTGAGCTTCATTTGGTACTTGCGTAGTACTTCAAAGGCTTCGGTCAGATCGAAAAGATGCGACTTTGACTGCTTGCTCTTGACAAGCATGTCGTCCACATATACTTCCATATTCCAACCGATCTGCTTGGCAAACATTTTGTTCACAATCCTTTGGTAGGTCGCACCTGCATTCTTTAGGCCAAAAGACATTACCTTGTAGCAGTACAAACCTTGGTTTGTTATGAACGCGATATGATCTTGGTCTTGCAAGTGCATTTTGATTTGGTTGTATCCGGAGTAGGCATCGATAAAGGTGAGCAGCTCGTGACCGGCCGTTGCGTCCACGAGCTGGTCGATTCTTGGCAGGGGGAAGTAGTCTTTTGGGCATGCCTTATTTAGATTTGTGAAGTCTACGCACATTCTCCACTTCCCGTTCGCTTTTTTAACTAATACAACATTAGAGAGCCACTCGGGATACATAATTTCTCTTATATACTCAGCTTTCAATAGCTTGTTCACTTCTTCAACAATTACATCACTCCTCTCCTTATTTACAGGTCTTCTTTTATGCTTTATAGGTCGAAATGATGGGTCTATGTTGAGGCGATGCACCATGATCTTTGGATCGATGCCTGGCATGTCCTCGTGGGACCATGCAAAGACGTCTGAGTTGGACCTAAGGAAGTTAATCAGCTCTTCTCTGTCAGTGGCCCCCAGCTTGGTTCCTATGCTTACTTGTTTTTCAGGACTAAATAAAGGAACAAGCTCGAGCTCCTCTGTTGGTGGGGAGAACTGCCTTTTGCCTTCCCTAGGTAGGTCGTCTTGATTGGTTTGCTTTTCCAGGGCACATACTGATGACCCTTTAAGCGCGGATGCATAACACTCCCTTGAAGTCTTTTGCTCACCTCGCACCGTACCCACTCCATTAGGGGTTGAGTACTTTAGGACTTGATGCAGTGTGGAGGGGACGGCCCGGAATGAGTGGATGACGGGTCTCTCGAAGATGGCGTTGTAGGTCGACTTGCCGTCGATCACCACGAACTCGGCCATCTGCGTTTGTAACGCCCCCCGTTACTCAGGTTAGTTTATCTCGAGTCCCCGGGCCTCTTTTCTTAGAAATTTCTTTTTATTTAATTTCATTGTTCATTTCATTTTATTTCGAGCTGTTGTGGTAATTGTTATGAGAGTTGAAGTGTACTTTCGTGTCCAATTATTGTGTAACGAGGAAATTGTTTTCTCTATAATTTTCTGGTCCGTTGGGCCCAAATTAAGTATCTAAGTAAGTGGCCCTTTCTTGTTTTAAAACAAGAGGGAAAGAGAAAAGGGCCTAGCCCAACTGGGTCCCTTCTTGTTAAAACAAAAGGAAGGTAAGAGGAAACCCTAGCCCCTAACAACCTTTCCCCTTTCGTGAACCTCTTCTTCCCTCCCCGTTTTAGTTTTCGTTTTCTTTCTTCTACCGGCGCCTCAACCCTCCCCGAAACACTCAACGGACAGCGANTCCAAGGGCAGTCTCAGCGTTGAAGGCAAGGCGCCTTTTACAGAATGGTGCCTGGGGATATCTGGCCAGTGTCGTCGACATTAGTGTGACTCCACTGAGCATCGACTCCGTCCACGTGGTCAAAGAGTTTCTAGATGTGTTCCCTGAAGACCTCCCGGGGCTACCTCCTGTCCACGAACTGGACTTTTGCATCGATTTATTGCCCGGGACAGCCCCTATCTCGAAGGCACCGTACCGCATGGCTCCAGCGGAACTTAAGGAGCTCAAGGCTCAGCTAGAAGAGCTCTTAGACGAGGGCTTCATTCGCCCAAGCGTATCTCCTTGGGGTGCTCCAGTGCTTTTTGTGAAAAAGAAGGACGGATCTATGCGACTTTACGTCGATTACCGAGAGTTGAACAAGGTGACAACGAAGAATAGATACCCCCTTCCTCGCATTGACGACCTCTTTGACCAACTAAAAGGAGCAATGGTGTTCTCGAAGATAGACCTACGATCAGGGTACCACCAGTTGAGAATTAAGGACGCCGACATACCAAAGACAGCCTTCAGGACCAGGTATGGGCATTTTGAGTTTACTGTAATGTCCTTCGAACTCACTAATGCCCCTGCGGCATTCATGGATCTTATGAATCGGGTTTTTAAGGAATTTTTGGACCTGTTTGTGATCGTATTTATCGACGATATTTTAATTTACTCCAAGACAGAAGAACAGCACGAAGGACATCTGCGATGGGTCCTTACCGCCTTGAGGGGGAATAGCTTGTATGCGAAGTTCTCAAAATGCGAGTTTTGGTTGGATAAGGTGGCCTTCCTTGGCCACATAGTCACCAGGGAAGGTATTGCCGTGGACCCGGCCAAAGTAGAGGCGGTCAGTGGTTGGCCAAGGCCTCGCACAGTGACCGAAATCCGCAGTTGTCTCGGGCTAGCTGGCTATTACAGGAGGTTCGTCCAAGATTTCTCCCGGTTGGCAGCGCCCTTGACTCAGTTGACCCGTAAGAATGCCACATTCGCTTGGAGCGATGGGTGCGAGAAGAGTTTTCAGGAACTAAAGAAGCGTTTGGTCACGGCCCCGGTACTAACGGTACCAGATGGGACGAGAGGTCTAGTGGTGTACAGTAATGCTTCGCGAAGAGGTTTGGGTTGCGTTCTGATGCAACATGGGAAAACTCAGTCCAAGATTTATTGGTCCTTTTGAGATCTTGGAGCGCATTGGCCCAGTCGCTTACCGGTTGGCCTTGCCATCGTCGTTGAGTGCAGTGCATAACGTGTTCCATGTGTCCATGCTGAGGAAGTATGTCCATGACCCTTCACACGTCTTGGATTATGAACCACTGCAGGTGGATGAAACCTTGTGTTATAAGGAAGTACCCATTGAGATCGTAGCAAGAGAGACCAAGGTGCTGCGGAATCGGGCAATTGACTTGGTGAAGGTCTTGTGGAGAAATCACCTATTGGAGGAAGCCACCTGGGAAAGGGAGGACGAAATTAGAGCCCGGTACCCTGAATTATTCGAATGACGAACTTTCGAGGACGAAAGTTTCTAAAGAGGGGAAGTCTGTAACGCCCCGCGTTACTCAGGTTAGTTTATCTCGAGTCCCCGGGCCTCTTTTCTTAGAAATTTCTTTTTATTTAATTTCATTTTATTTCGAGCTGCTGTGGTAATTGTTATGAGTGTTGAAGTGTACTTTTGTGTCCAATTATTGTGTAACGAGGAAATTGTTTTCTCTATAATTGTTCTGGTCCGTTGGACCCAAATTAAGTATCTAAGTAAGTGGGCCTTTCTTGTTTTAAAACAAGAGGGAAAGAGAAAAGGGCCTAGCCCAAGTGGGTCCCTTCTTGTTAAAACAAAAGGAAGGTAAGAGGAAACCTTAGCCCCCAACAACCCTTCCCCTTTCAGTGATTATCGTTGTGTTACGTGTTGTTGTTTCATTGCTAGACATTATGATTTTTGTAGTTGGAACTCTCAGTGACGAAATGCATGTGTTGATAGCCTGTCATATAGTTTTATATTATTTTGTTGGAAGCTGCTGAGTTAGTGCATTGTTGGTACGAAGAAAAGCATGCTGGTAAAATTGAGCTGTGAGTTGAAATGTGGAAGACTTATTTACAGGTTGTCTTTGGAAGATTAGTGGGAATTGTCACGAGCGATGGGTCGGGTTAGTGGTTCGTTAACCTGTGGGGTGTCTGAATTGAAAATGCATACTAGTCGCATGGTTATTCAAAGCTTTGAGTGGGTGCCTTGGGAATAAATGGCAAGGCCGAACATCAGGTTTCTATGGAGAAATACTGGGGTCTTGGGAATAAATGTCAAGAACCAATACGCTGGGTAGTCATCGGTGCCTTGGGAATAAATGTCAAGTACTGGTGCACAGTTCTAGACCTTGGGAATAAATGGCAAGATCGAACTTCAAGTTTCTGTAGAGAAGTATTGGGGCCTTGGGAATAAATGTCAAGGGCCAAAACGATTCGAGGAGTTAAGTACGAAGGACAAACGTGAAGGGGTACTTAAGATGTAACAGTTGTAGACCTTGGGAATAATGGCAGGGTCGAACACCAAGCGTTGTAGAGGGAGGTCGGTATCTTGGGAATAAATGTCAAGAGCCGTTACGCTTCGAAAAGTTAGACTTGGAGTACTAACATAGAGTGGGAGTGGGTGTTAGTTCAAGAATGGACAAGTGCTAGTGGGTAGTGTGGTTGGGGTCCCGGAAGTCTAGGTGTTGGGTTGCTTGTATGGAATTGTTAAACTATTATTACTATCCCGTGCTGCCTATCTGTTGTTCTGCTATTGTTCTTTTGATGTGGTTGTGATTACGAGCGTGTTGTGGTGTGTAGTTAGGGTGGGCTACTTACGGAGTATTTATGTACTCACCCCTCCTCTACCTTTTTGTTTCAGGTGTGAACCGGGCCGACCGTGGTGATGACGTGGAGGAGGTCTGACTGAGGCGGGATCACTAGCTATGTCGGTTAGGCTAGGGAATGATGTCGTGCAATGCAGACATCGTTAAAATCTTACAGCTATGAAATAAAAAAGGGATTTAGACATTGGGTTAACTCCAAGGACACCTTCTTTTATTGCTTTATGGGTATTTTGTTTTTACTATTCGAACTACTGATGTATTTGGGATTACGAGACAAAATGATTATATTCTTGATTGGATTCCTGACCACTGAGGCGGGTATTATCTCCTGAATATTCTATTATTGTGTACCTCTATTTTGTATGATGCATTAGGAGAACATTACATTTTCGTTACTTGAAATGGGAGGGTTCAGTAAGCATTATAGGGCCGTTACCTCGTTAAACATGTTTGAAATATGGGTCTTTATAGCGTTACTTGGGTAGCATCCTGTCCGATCGTGACCGACAAGTCAATACACCCTTCTGGGGAGACCGATTCTCCAGAGAATCCAACCAAGGGTGTTGGACTCTTTTTCAACTGTGACTTAGTCCACCCCAAGGCAAGATATGTTGGGAGGGACAAGATGTTGGCCGAGCACCTCCATCAACCAATACTCTTCTGACCAGGACGTGATCGATAAGAGGGGCGATCACAAGTGCATCATTATGGGCCAAGTGGACTCCCTCCAGGTCGGTATAGTCAAAAGTAATGGAGCAGGTCGGTCTCTGCTCCCTGATGATGCACACCTCGCGTCTGGCTTCGCGAGCTATCTCTTTTCTTTTATTTCCAGATTGGCCCCCACTTGGGCCTCCGAAAATAGTGTTGATGACCGCAGGTCGGTCATCTTGACGAGGCGGCGTCCTTGAACGTTTCCTCTCTTCTTTCTTCTCTACCGAGTTGGACCTTGGTTTGCCTACAAATTTTTTGAAGTAGCCATCTTTAATGAGGTCTTCAATTTGGCGCTTCAATTCCCAGCAGTTTGATGTATTATGGCCGTGATCGCGATGGAAACGACAATATTTGTCTTTATTACGCTTTTCTGGGTCCCCTCAGAACTTCTCAGGTCGCTTGAGGAGCTTTTCCATCCCAGTCTTTTCAATGTTGGTAAGTATTTCGGAGATTGGGATGGTGGTCGGAGTGTAACGCTCATAAGGTCGGCTTCTGCGGCTGTTATCCGACCTTCGATAATTAACTCGGCTACTAAAGGAGGATGGTCCCTTGTCCCTGGTCTTGGAATCAGTTTTTCCTTTGTCCTTGCTAGCTCTCCCCTGGTCGATCTTCTTTTCTGGTCGGTCAGTTTTGGTTCGGAGGAGCTCTTGCCCATCAATAATCTTCTTTGCCTTTTGCAGGACCTCGACGAAAGTGGCTGGGGCTTCTTCCTCGAGCTTCACAGTGAGGGTCTCGTCGGCCAGGGTGGTGAGGAAGTAGCACATGGCCGAGTGATCGGAGCAGTGTGCGACCTTCAGCTGCTCCTCCTGGAACCTTGTGACATATTCTCTCAGCGTCTCACCTTCCTTCTGTCTGATGGTGGTGAGGTGAGTCGCTGTCTTTCTATCATAATGCCGAGAAGAGAATTGGATAATGAATTCTTTCCTCAGCTGGGAGTAGGTCGAGATCGACCTGGCCGGGAGTCTTCGGTACCACAAGCGTGCGCTGCCGGTGAGCGCGATCTGGAAATCGCGGCACTTGATTGCATCTGTTGCCGCTTGAAAGTCCATGAGGCCTTCGAAGACCTCAACATAGTCTTTTGGGTCCTTGGACCCGTCATAAGGCTTCATGGTGGGAGTCTTGAATTTTAGAGGGATCAGAGCTTCTAGGATGTCCGAGGTGAATGGTGATTCTCCCAGGTCGCCATCATCAAACGAACTTTCCTTTTTCTCGCACTTAGCCTTCAAGGCCTCAACCTGGGCATCAAACTTGCTCTTTAGCTGATCGAACTCCTCCCTTGTGATCACTCCTTCGGGAGTTATTGGATTGTAGGAGGACTCTGCCTGTTGATTGGAGTTTCTATGCGAGCAGGACGGAGACTGTCCCTTTCGGAGGGACGAGCTTCTCTTTCTGTTGAGATGCTCGCGAAGGTCACCCCTCTGGTGAGTGTACTCCTCGTCCTCACCTCCCTCAGGGTGCCCTTTCTTGACTGGACCGAGGTGATGACCCCTTTGCTCGTGCATGTCATTGCGTGCCACCCGGTTTTCAGACCGAGATCTAGCGCCTGCAGCTTGCACCATCTCGCTATACATCTTTTCCATGGTGCACATCTGAGTGCGCATTGCCTCTATTTCTTTCTGGAGCGCGTCAAAATTTTCCCTAGTAGGAGCTGGGGCTGGTCCTCGAGTGGTTCTCTTCGAAGTCCCACCTCAGCCGCGATTGGCCTTGGATGGCTTTGGATGTGCTGGTGGCAGAACGGGCGTGGTGATACGTGCCGACCTGCGGAGAGGCTCTGTCCCCAGGCCTTCACGAACCTGTCCCTCTACCTCCTCTGCTCCGGCCTCCCTCTGGTGGCCATCATTGGCCACTAGAGCTCTTCGGTCGGCGTATTGGTTGAGTTTGCTGGCTGAACCATTTTTGTTCGCGTTCTTAAATCAGGACGACTTAGATCGTCCTTTTCCCACAGACGACGCCAAATGTTTATGCAGGAGTTTGCACAACGGTTCTTCACGAACAAAGCTCGAACCCGGTCTCGGGTCTCGACCTGAACACTTAGAGTGGACCTGGACAAGAGGGTAAACACTCCGACGCTCAAGTCAGTATAGGTCGGACTCCATATTTAGTTCGAGGTGAGATTCGGTACCTGAGCGTGAAATGAGTCCCTCTATTAATAGGTGGCGAATCCGACAGTACTCACGACCGGCGGTTATATGTCTTTTCTCATGTCTAACCTGTCGGGTTCCAAGCAGATCGGGCCCCAGCCAGGTCGAACCTTGACGTCTATACTTAGCCTTTTATAATGGGCGAACCCAGTCTCCTCGGCAGGGCCGAGGTGGACCTAGGCAATTTCTTTTATTCAATTCTTCAAACACCAATAAGGGTCCTCCACGTGTCCTGGGTATTTTTACCCCCAAACACAATCCATCTTCTTCTTCCATCTTTTCTCCTTCTCCCTTCTCACTTCCAAGCAAACTCACTTACAATATTCACACACCTCCGATGGCCATAGACCTTCGACGACACGC